GACCGTTGGCGACCGTTGGCGACCGTTGGCGACCGTTGGTGACCGTTGGTCTCCTCAAGTCTCCTCAAAAAAAATGGGGGATTCTTCCTCACTTTTTGAGAAGATTCCTCAAAATCTGAGGCGAGATCGGAGGACTCCTCCTCACACATGGGAGTTCCTCATAGTTCTCCCCTTTTCTTCAAAAAATGAGACATTGGTTTTACCGCGCCAATACCCTGAGGGGGCGAGACAAGGCGAGAAGAAGAGTATAGACTCGTTTCATGGATCCATCCGGTTCATGTCAAATGCCACATACCTGCCAGATTCTTTCCACTCTGCCCGTGTGTGTGTGTGATTTGTCCCAAACGCCATAATCATTACAGCCTCAAGAATTATTCCGTATCTCATCAGCTGATGGGATCGGAGGCCTTAGACGAGGCACCTCCCTTAGGCATGCGACGAGAAAACGGCTCTGTTGGTTTGATGGAATGATGGAAGTATGCTGCTGGAATTTTTCTCCTGAAATTCCATTGATTGAGTTGACAAATTCCTGTGGGGCAAAGAAGAATCGCTCAAAGTACCGTAAAATCATATTCCCCAGTCTATTTCTAATTTGTTTCCAGGTTAAATATCGTAGTGGTGTAAAGGGATCCTCAGTTAGTTCAATGGAAGCCTTTTCTCCGGCCTGGGCCGCGCTCGGGGCTCGACTGAGACCTTGCCCTGCTGGAGAAGGGTCCCCGTCTGTCTGCCCGGCCCGCGTGCATATCGCAACGTAATGTATACTTACGCCCGCGCGATCTCAATCTGACATAAACGGTGGCAAGGTGGGGGGGGGGGGGGGGTAATCTCCGGCGGCCTTGAGCCTTCAGTCTGCACGACCGCCCACTCACTCCCCTCCCCCACCACCCTGCTGGCTGGCCACGCGCCAGACGAAATCCCTCTCCTCCCTAATCCTAAAAGCGTGCCGCCACGTTTCCCACGAGGGAGGAGGAGGAGGAGGAGTCGGGCGGACCGCACGCCGCTCGGCCACCGGACAGCATAGCCGTGTGGGGTGGGCACTGGGCAGAGGCAGAGCCGGGCAGAGCCGGGCAGAGCCGGGCAGAGCGTCCAGTAGTGGCGAAACGCTCGTCCGGTGTTTCTCTCCAGTGTCTGTCCTCTCCTCTCTATGTGGTCCGCACGGGCTTGGCGAGGCAATGGTCGGCAGCTGTAATAGGGATAACGCCGGAGGAAAAAGGGACACGGTCCACCCACAAGGCTGAGCCGAGGCGCCATAGTACTAGGTATGCGCGACACGATTTGCAACTTCGACCTCTAATTGGCAGCGGCCAATCACACACAACCCTGAGGGAATGGAGCTGCCGGAGCCGAAGCTGGCCATGCTGACCAGCAGCGGCGGCATATTGCATCGGGATCGGGTGAGCCTGCACAGCCTGCAGGGCGGGGTGGGGGCTGGGCAGGGGTGGTGGGGTGGTGTGGGGTGGAGCACGGTTGGGCTGGTGTGTGGGGCAGTGCGGTACGGCACGGTGTGGTCATGCCTTTACCCACCCCTTGCCTCAGGCGCACTGCTCTGCTGTCCCCGCTGCTGCCGGCTGCCGCTACTGCTGATTTACCGATTCGGCCCACTTTTATTAAGTCGCGCGACGCCTAGCTAGCACTCGACGGCGGCGGCGCTGGTCGCGAGGTGCTGCTGGCGCAACGGCGTCGCGACCGGCGGCCAGCACCAGCGAGCAGCTCAATGCGGCTATGCTGTTGTTTAATATTGTATGAGGCCGGGCCGAGCCGGGACCCTCTGAAGTGGTCGGGGGTGGCCGGAGGCCAGGAGGGACAGGCCCACGTCACCGTGGCTGCCGCTGAATCACCCCATTCCGCGTGCAGGAAGCGCACGGCGCGGGGAGGGCCCTCACCCATCTCTTCACCGTCCCGTTCTTGACCATGAACTTTTATGTTTGTGACTGATGAGTAGAATTTTTAGTTGATAATGCGAAGTGATAAAAGCTTGTGCTGTTGGAAATTAGTCGAAAGTTCACCATAGTTCAATAAACGTAAAGCTCTGCAGTTCGCCAGTTCAAGCGTAAACATGTCGCTAACAGGTCAGCACGTGCACCGCCCGCGGCAGCGACCTTTCCGCGTGGCCCTCAAAAATATTAAATCTGGTTTCACCTGCGGTGCGTCGCGGAAGCAGCGGCTGCTGCACCGATGGGCGTAGACGGGGCAGGTAAAGAAGCCAGGTGCCAGATTCGCGTCGTTTCGACTTACAGAGGCGTGGTTCTCTGAAAATCGGAGAACCAGATTTTGTCGTGAATCCCAATATACGCCATTATATGACTCTTGGGAAAGTTATATTGATTGATGCTTCTTCTGGGGAGTAATTAATTGTCGACTCGACTTTTAAAGAGCGCTCTTGGTCCGTATGGCTCGTCGTTTATAACGTTTCTATTTGGGCGATGTAGAAATGTAGAAATAACGGAAATAACTCAATTTGGGCGAGAATCATGACTTGCTATTCTACCCTGGCGGTCACAGTAGTGTTTTGACAAATACCGGTACCAGTAGCGCCCGTAAACGGCACGGCAGATGGGAGGCCCGAGTCGGAGGCAGAGGCAAGCACCAACCCCCGGGCGGTCGCCTCGCCTCGCCGCCCTCGTGCACGTGGACCGCGGAATTTTCCACTGCATGGCACGACAGACACACTCATACGCGTACTCATCACACACCCGGCACCCGGGGTTCGCTGACGCTCATGAGGCAGCGATCTATCACCCATCTATTCACATTACCCCCCCCCTTCGCGAAATAGGAGGGGGTTTCTGATAATTGAATAAAAGTTGAACTTAAATAAGAGGCGAGAGGTACATAACTCCAAAAAATCGTGTACAGGGCAGTGAT